GTTGCTGCATTCATACGGTCTTAAGAAAAACATCTTATATGCATTGATTTGCTGAATTGAGTAAAATATATCTAAACACAAAGAAAAAGGAAATGTTAAAGGACATTCTTTATGTCTTTTACCAATTTTTTTTTAAAAAGGACAAATTGAAATGAAATTGCTAATTAAGCACTACTTTAATGCATGTGGTGATGCTTAGAAACTAACGCTATTATTAGCACAACAACTGCCAACAGTGCAGAACTCGATTTGGATAGGGGGTAAATAAATTGGTGAAAACACGGTTCAATCATTTTGTGTTTCTTTGTCGTTCAGAGAGCTACGATCCTGTCCTGATTTCTTCTAAAAACTTGAGGAAATTCATGGCTGCTTTTAATTAGAAAAGCTGCCAGGAGCCTGGCAGGGTGATTACAAAAGTATGGATTTTGGAGCTTTAACCCTACCCCTTTGGCCACACATCCCTGTGGATGAAGAACAAGATTGGAATAAAGAAAATGCATTCATCTGGATAAAGAAGTCTGCTCTGTATTCACAGGTATTCCTACAAAATGCTTTGTAATTATTTACATTAGGGTCTTTGTGATAGAAGGGGCATAAAAAGAAATCCCAATGTTTTCAAGACTTTAGATACATCACTCATGTTTCTAATTCAATCTAGAAAAGACATAATGCAATCTATTCTTAATTATCTACAGGTAGATTATGAGGGTTTATGCCACAGACAGAAAACCAGAAACTGCATCAGCCATTTCAGTTCCAAGCAGGCTCTTTAATTAAAGATGTAAGCCTGTCTCAAAACAGCTATACTACTTCTTTCACTACTGCCAGGCAATAAAAAGTTGAACTGCTACCGCAAGAGAGTGCCAGGCAGGCTTCGTGGCATGGGCTGCAAGCAAGCTGCCTGCAAGCAGAATAATCAGAGTATGTCTCCTAGCAGTAGCATCCTAGTACACTAGAAGCACAGCACTTTGATGGCTGCACATCTAGGTCTGAGAGGGCCAATGTTGATGCGCAGCTGAAAATCTTACCTAGATGAAAGATGAGTCACCTTGGGTCTATATGCCTTGCTCTTTAGCAGGGTGGGTTAGGGGAAGACTTATCAATTCAAGCGTGGAAAGAGAAAAGTGCAGAGAGCAACCTTGCTAATAAGCATTCTTGTGTGTTTGAACATTAGGACAAAACACTTGGCTAATGGTGACCTAAAGGGACCAGCTCAGACCAAGCACTGTTAAGGACTTCTGAGCCCCTACTAGCCCTGACAAATACTGGACGTGGAGTGACTCTATAGATCACACTAAAGTCAGACACAAAACTTGTACCTACTTTTCCATTGTCTAACTATCTTAAGTCTCCCATTACTCCGCATAATTGAGAACCTCATTTGAATACATGGTTTGGCATATATGGATATAAAATAAAATGTGTATTCTACTGACATTATTAATACAAAAATTAAAATAAGTTTAAATTTCCAAAGAACTGTATTTACAAAAAAACAGGTATAGAGAAAGACTGTAACAGAACATGTGCACCATACGCACAGAACAGAACTTCAGAAACTGAGAAAAGAAAGTATTAGAAGGGGTGTGGCTAGTAGGCTGAGAGAGGTCCTCCTCCCCCTCTATTCTGTCCTGGTGAGGCCACATCTGGAATATTGTGTCCAGTTCTGGGCCCCTCAGTTCAAGAAGGACAGGGAACTGCTTGAAAGAGTCCAGCACAGAGCCACAAAGATGATGAAGAGAGCAGACTGTCTCCCTTATGAGGAAAGGCAGAAGGAGCTGGGTCTCTTTAGCTTGGGGAAGAGGAGGCTGAGGGCTGACCTCATTAATGTTTATAAATACGTAAAGGGGGAGTGTCAGGAGGACAGAGCCAGGCTCTTTTCAGTGATGCCCAATGATAGGACAAGGGGCAATGGATATCGCAAGCTGGAGCAGAGGAGGTTCCACAAAAACATTAGGAAAAACTGTTTCACTGTGAGGGTGACAGAGTCCTGGCACAGGCTGCCCAGGGAGGTTGTGGAGTCTCCTTCTCTGGAGACATTCAAGACCTGCCTGGACGCGTTCCTGTTTGTGCTGCCCTAGGTGATCCTGCTCTGGCAGGGAGGTTGGGCTAGATGATCTTTGGAGGTCCCTTCCAATCCCTGACATTCTGTGATTCTGTGATACTCCAATCAGCCAGGTAATCTATCATGACTGCTCATTTTTAATATATTCTCTAAGAGTAACAGAAAGTACAAATGGCTTATATTTTGTTATATATATTTTAGCTGACAGACACCAATTATAAAGCTTACAGTTTTCTCTCCTATATCCAAAAGATAGGACAGATCTCAATATTTATCATACTATACTGTTTTAGATATATTGATGTTTTATGTTAAAAAAATCTGACAATGAGAAAGAAGTCATTCTCTTTATATGTCAAACAGTATGTAAACACATTGGCTTATCAAGGGCTTCTAAGCGTTATTTTAAAATTAGAAACACTTCAGGATATATGTAGTAAAAGAAGAAATGATGGATGACACCTGTGTAATCAAACATATATTTCCAAATTAATAAAAGCAACTTATTTTCAGCTTTTTGCAAACAGCCAAAATGATATCGATTTTTTAAATCTCAAAAATCAAATTACTTGGCTCGCATCCCTTTAAAGAAAAATACTAGAAAGATACTTTCATTATTAGTTAAACCAATTACTGTTTTGAGACTCAGGTTTGGCTTGGAATATAGAAAACTAAATTTTGCCACTGGTCCGTTTGGTGATATTACACAAACTACCTTTTTTCTCTCCTTTTCCTATCCAGAGCATGAAAATATGACACTGATCAGCTTGAAATTAGAGGTACTACGTGAGAGATAATTACTACTATTATTTCTACTTGGGTGCTTTGTACCCTGTGCTATGTCAGAAACCTTAGCCTTTCAGAAATGAACACACTAACTCTACTAAACATCTTTCATCCCTACATCTGCTTCTGTTCTTACATAAACAATTTCTCTAGAAAACAAAGGAAAGATAAGAATTTATGAGGGGAGCTGATAAAACAAATTCCACATTGTCTCCAAAAGATGTTCCATAAACCAGGACAGAGAGTACACTCTCTATTTCAGAAACATTCACAATATGACACAACTGGGATGAAAAAGGAGGCCATAATTACATTTCAGTAGAAAGAAAACAAAGCATAAGATAGTTTGCTTCAACAAAACATTGAACTATATGACAGAAACACTGAATTCTCTGACACCATGGAAAAAATGACAAATTACTTGGCTGTGGGATCACTGGGGCCTTGACTGAGATGAACTAGGTTGTCCATACCTCACAGAGTTCTTATTTCAGGAACAGCTGTTTTTTAAAAGTCAATTTTTTCAGGTATAATTATTATCTTTATTAGAAATGGTCCAACTTCATAAAATTTCCCGACAACACCGGGAACAAAAAACCAACATGGCTCCTTTTGTTGCTAAGCACTGTAACACTCCTTTGAAATATGAAACATCCTAGTCTAATTTATTCTATCTTATTTACAGCAAGGACACACAATTACATCTCCCACTTTTCATTACTGAGCTTCTGCAGTGTTCTGGATCTGTGTCAGATCCTCCTGTCGTATCTCTTTCTTTTAATATACAAAATAAAATATCTATGGGAATGGAACTAGAATTACAGTGTTCCTTACTTGAGAAGATTAGCCACTATCCATCCAAAATACAGGCATTTTCCTTCTTATTTTGTAGATTGGTATATATTCCAAGTATTTATACAAAACAGAAGCACTCTAATTTCAATGTAAACCTTTAGTTCTGTCATATAGTACAAGAATCTGGATAGAGCACTCTTCTCTCAAAGGGAGGATAACTGCATTGAAATCCCAAATCAAGCAGCTTTTCCTCCATAGCATGCTTTTCTCTGCAAATTTCATGACAGTTATGAAAAATAATTATATGAAAAATAATTGCATAAAACAAGCTTCCAAATGTGTAGAGCAAGAAAATCCAAAAAATAGGGAAAGTAATTCCTCATACTGTTTCAAGTTATAAATCCGATTCTGTATCTTTGTTTCATCTCAGTACTTCTTACATTTCAAATGACAGTGGACTGTGAGGTCAAAAAACTACCGAATAAAATTATTAACAATTTCTGTAAGTCTTATGTTTGGCCAGGAAGATGAAGACTAAGAATATATCGGAAAAAAAGGTCCATGAGTTTGGGACCAGGTGTTCCTACACAGAGGTTCTTCAGTGCAAACTACTGACCCCTGATAAAGGGAATCTAAAGCATACACATAATAGCTGAAAAGACAAGAGTAGCTGTGCAAATTATAACTTTTCTTCACAATTACCGTGTCAATAATTGTCACAGTGAGTTTTTACTATACACTAACATTGCCCTTGTATTTTTTTAAGTAAATTCTCTGAGATCATATATAAGTTTGATTCATTATGTAAAATAGTGATGTCCTTCATGAAAAGTGCTTAAAACACAGCCTGAAGCAAATAGAAGAATTTTAAGAAGTATTTCTGCAGAACTGTATCAGATAGTAAGAAAGCATGAGCAAATTCTTTACCAGCATCAGTGTTCTTTATTTAGCAATCTGTAATTAAAAATTTCATTTCTGTAGGTTCTATTTTCTAGGCGTCATTGTGAATCATACACAAGATTATCCATTTGTTCCACCCTAGCCAAGTGTACATTCCCATACCATTCACAAGTGTGTAGTAATAATTAAATGTTATCAGATACTACCAAAACTGCAAGTACCTCCATAACAATGCCATGGAATGATATAATTTTTTAAGATACTGTTATTTTTCGTGCATAAGCACACCCACAAAAAATGAATTAATATCTAATTTTAAAAAAAAGAGCCTGCATGGAAAAATGTTCTAAGAGGATGGGTCTTTTCATTTTGATTTCTTTTCTGCTTCGTTGTAGCTTATTTTCTCAGATATGGCAAATGATAGGGAAAAATCAAGCCGAATACATGTACTTACTTGTGATAAAAGGGAAAGCTGATGCTGACAGGTTACTGCACTTCGATTAGCCTCCAGGAAGTACCTCTGGGTTCGTCTCCTCTCCTGATCCAGTTTCTTCTCCAATATGAGATGAGAGGTAGATAAAACATCCAAGTATTTCATCATCACATCGGACAGCAGTGAGCTGACCTCCACTATGTCTGGACGTGCTTCTGCATCAGGAGTCAAGCATCTGCAGAAAGAACATTCTCTAATGAAAGATAATTACTTCTTTGTAAAAAACTTTACCACTGCATTCATCCAATGGTATTTATCAAGTCATGCTGACCAGCACGCTGCCAAGCCTGCACGGGACAGTTTGGCATTCTGCAGCCTCTGGCATCAGCTGGAACAATTCTCCTTGATGCTGACCCAGACAGAACGGCTGCGGGAGGCTACTGCTGCACACTTGCAGACACACTGGGGAGTGCCTGGTGCTTCTTCCTGGATCTGGGGAAGACACGGACCTCCCTTGTGGGGACTGTGTTCTGGTCAAAGCAGCTGTGAAGGACACAAGTGTGCTGTCAAGAGGATTTAGAGGAGAATGACAAGATCTTCAAGGAGATTTTGCAGATAGAAGACTTGTAAACAAGGCAAAGAAAAAGGAAAATCTAGAGATTACTTTCAAAGGAACAGTGGATGGAGGCTCCCAAGAGCAGGTAGGCTGGAAACTTGTGACTTTTGCCAACACAAGGAAGGCTTTTCCTCTGACTACAGACATGTGATTACATAACAAGTACAGTGACCTAGGAATAGGTGAGGAAGAACAAGATCTAAAAGAGGCCACATCAGAGCCTGAATCAAGTGCTAAGATCACAAATAAGGAGCAGCAACTGACAGTCACTTGAGACTGAGGGAACAGAGGCATCTATCTACTTGATCTGATTTGATGATTGCAAAGAAACTTGCTTGGATTGAGGACATTGTGGACATACTACCAAGATTCACCTGGACTTTTCACCTTGCTGCCATGAATGACAACACTACCTGAACATACCAAAAATGACTACAAAGCTCTGGGGTCAAGTGTGAAGGGCAGAGGGACAAAGTGATGTTCTCCTCAATTCTTCCAGTGAGGGGAAGAGGCTAAAGTGAGGGTGGATGCAACCTGCAGTCCAACAATTGGCCGTACGTAACCAAGAGTTTACAGGTAAGGATCAGAGGAACAAACCAACATGGGTGACATTGTGGAGATTCCTGCGGTAAACCACCCAGAACCAAAGATGAAGTCTGTGAAGCCTTTGTTGGACAGGTGGAGGAAGCTTCATGATTGCACTCACACTCATTGGGGACTATTAACCACCCTGATCTCTTCTGATGAGGTACTAGAGCTGAGTGCAGCAATCAGGAGATTTCTGGAATCTGTTGATGACAATTTATTGATGTAGCTTATTCAGAAGCTAGCTGGCTTCTGAATCACTCTGCCAGACCTGTTGCTCACAAAGAAGGAAGAACAAGAACCAGACACGGATGTGAAGACCAAGGGCAGCCTCAGCAACTGTCAAACTGTTGAATTCAAAATCCTCAGAGAAGTGAGAAGAACAGATTGTATGGTTACAGCATAGGATTTCAGGAGAGTAGAATTCAGTGTGTTCAGGGATCTTCCTGTCAGAATGTTATTGAACACTGCCCTGGAAGGTGAAAGAAAAGCTTAGGAGAGGTAGCTAATCTTCAGGGACACCTCAAAGCACAAAAACATCCCACTGCTGCATGTAGAAAACAGAGGTGAGCTACAGATATTGCCCAAATGGTGGAGTTAGGAAAACTAAAGCTATGCTGCAGTTAAAACTAGCAATGGATGTGGAAGGCAGACGAAAGGCTTTCTGTAAGTAACAACAAAAGAAAGGCGAAGGAAACCATGGACCCACTACTCAAACTAGTGACAAAGGACTCAGAAAAGGCTGGGGCACTCAGTCCCAGATCTCTGAGCCTACCTGCAGAAACCATGAGCATGAAGCATTAACATAGTCAAAAATACAGTGAGAGAGCATTTAAGCCAGTTGGACATATACAAGCCAATGGGACCACATGAGATAAACCTGAGAGTGCCGATGCATTTAGTCACTAACTATCGCGTCTGAAATGATCAGAGGGAGGTTTCTGTAGACTGGAAGAAGTTGAATAACACGTGCATATCAAGAAGAGCAAGAGAGAGGATGCAGGAAGCTACTGGCCAGTCAGCTGCACCTTAGTTCCTGGGAAAATAATAGAGAAAATTCCCCTGGAAGTAATTTCCAAGCACACAAAGGTCAAGAATACAACTGGGAACACCCAGGATGGATTTACCAAGCAGCAGTCATACCTGACTAGCCTGACTGCTCTCTGTGATGAGATTACTGGCTCTGTGGACAAAGGGAGAGCAGTACATGCTGTAGGTAGCTTTATTTTAGCAAGGCCTTTGACACAACATCCCACAGTATTCACAGGACTATAAGGTAGGTAGATAATTGGCTTAACTTCCTGGCTCAAAGTGATTTCATCAGCAGTACGAAGTCCAGCTGGTGGCTGCAAGTAGCATCCTCCTGGGATTGATACTGGGCCAAGACTACTTAATGACTTTATTAATGACATAGGTGATGGGGTGGAGTGCATTCTCAGAAGGCTTGTGAAGAACAAATTGAAGTCATCATTTGATATATGGGGCCGGGCTGCTGCCAGAGGGACCTGGGCCACTCATGCAGAGATCTGACTGCTATCTGTGTAATGGGAAGGTATAGAAAAGATGGAGTCAGATCCTTGTTATAGGTGCCCGGGGATAGGGCAAGAGACATTAGATGCAAGTTAGAAGACAGGAAAGTCTGACTAGGTATAATGATCATTATTATTATTACTACTACTAATACTTTTAATCATAAAGGCAGACAACCATTAAAGACAGCCCAGAGAAGTTGTGGAATCTCCATCATTCGAGATACTCAGAACTCAGACAAGACCCTGAGCAGTGAGTGACCAGATTTAATATCTACTTTGAGCAGATGGGCTAGATAACCTCCAAGGGTCCCTTCCAATCTAAATTACTTCACAGTTCTGTGGCCTTGTTAAATACCCTCTAGGTACCTGTTCAGTAACAGTAATATTATACTATTAGGTCTTTTCTTAAAGGCCCAAAATACTTTGTACATAGTGTATGACATGAAAGCTGATAAGGACAGCTCTGCATGTACTATAGACTGTCTTAAATCTGTAACTTCAGTGAACCCAGTAATTTACTACGATTTCCCTGCGGAGTACTATTGACCAGCTAGCATACAGAAACACATAACCCAACATCCTCCAAAGAAAGTGTCACGAATGATTTTATTATTTCTAAACCAGTACTTTCCAAATAAACATAACTGCCATATGAAGTAGTAATTCTGAAAATGTTTTACAGCACTTCTTGATTTTAATCTTTTTTGTTCAAGTTTGCTCAAGTTTGCTGATTCATTTAATTAATTTTCATATCTTTGTTATTCTCTTTTACTTAGAATTTTATATTTCCTTTAAAGAGATGCAAGTTTTTCACCCTTAAAAAATGTTGTTTTTCAGAATGTCTTTTTCCATTTCCTATGCATCTAGAAAGAAATTATTTATTTATGATTAAACACCAAGTAGACTGATGTTCATCTGTGAAAAACTTTGATGATTACTGTACCAGAACTTTCTTTAGATGAAGCTGGTAAAATTGTATTTTAAAAATAACAATACTGAATAAAAACAATAACACTAGATGCAAATTTACAGTAGCAACATGAAGCTTTCAGTGAGTTTTCTAATCCTTATCAATAAATTATTTTTTCTATTTACAACATCTTTGAACATGTGTTGTTCTTCAGTCATTCTGAAAGAACTTCATTTTTGCTAATGTTTCCTCATCTATAGTATAAGTAAAATCTCATTATTAAAGCTTTTTTTAATGTTCTTTGTTCTTTCTAAATGCATCACAAAGCATAAGCGAAAATCTTATTGTCATATTTCATTTAAAGATTAAGCCATAGCAAAAGAAGCAACATTTTTTTATAAAAAACATTTTATGCTTCCCACTGCTACTAAATCAAGTAGAAAAATTCCTACGTGACAGGAAAATCTAATTTTAGTATTTTCATGCAAATACCATTTAATCATCTATTTAAACCAATTAGCCTTCGTAGCCAGTCTCATGATGATGTTTGTCTTTCACTGAACCTGTTTAATACAGCCACAATATCTACAGTCATCAATAACTCAATAGCTGGCCTTGGAAAAACCCTCAAAAACTTCCTATTGCAGAGTTTCTCATCATTATCAGGAATGAAAAGAAGGAAAAGATAGAGGGCCAGATACATAATTTTATGTAAGTCACTGATAGCTCTGCTGAAAATTCGTAAGAGAATGCAACAGATAACAATACTGGTATGAGGTGACTGGAAAGTATTTTCTGGATGCATTCAAGATTACTATATTATTCTTAAATAGCGAGCAATTAATTAATAAAGCCAGTTATTCTAAGTATAAATATCTGTAAGTATTTAAAATACTGAAATTCATTTCAGGACCTCTTACACATAAATGCTTTTTCTATTAGCTGCTTTCATCCTCAAGGTCTTTAAATAACAGAAATATTTTTGTACAATAAAGCATAGTATAAAAATGTTGCAGTCTTTGTATAGTAAAGTGCTTTATAGAGATGGAATTCAACATCTGAGTGAGAAAAATAATTTTTGTGCTAAGTGAGGTTTTTCTAAAATGGAAAAATAAAGAGAGCTAAATCTCATAAAAGTGCACCAATTCACTCATTATATATTGCCTTACACATTACACTATCACCAGGAACTTGTAACCATAGCTATGAGAAATATGTGATGAGCGAGTGGAACAAATACAGGCTGTTCTGGTTTTGGCTGAGATAGAGCTAATTTTTCTTCTTAGTAGCTAGAGTAGTGCTGTGTTTTGGATTCAGCATGGGAATTGACATGAGAAGAATGTTGATAATAGTACTGGTCGTTTTAGTTGTTGCTAGGATATCAAGGACTTTTCAATTTCCTGTGTTTTGCTAGTGTGCAGGTACACAAGAAGATGGGAGGGAGCATGGTCAGGACAGCTGACCCAAACTAGGCAAATGGATATTCATAGAATCATAGAATTGCTTAGGTTGGAAAGGACCTTAGAGATCATCTAATTCAATCGCCCTGTCATAGGCAGGGACATCTCTCAACTAGGCCAGGTTGCTCAAGGCCTCATCCAACCTGGCCTTGAACATTTCCAGAGAGGGGGCATCCACTTCTCTGGGCAATTTATTGCCACCCTTGTACTGAAGAATTTCTTTCTAAGATCCAATCTAAACCTATTCTCCTTCAATTTAAATCCATTTCCCCCTGTCCTATTGCTGGACATTCTTGTAAAAAGGCCCTCTCTAGCCTTCCTGTAGGTTCCATTCAGGTTCTTGAAGGCAGTTATAAGGTCTCCCGAGAATCTTCTCTTTTCCAGAGTGAACAACCCCAGCTCCTGCAGCCTGTCCTCACAGCAGAGGCGCTCCAGCCCTTGGATCATCTTTGGCCCTCCTCTGGACTTGCTTCAACAGATCTATGTCCCTCTTACGGTCGATTCACCAGAACTGGATGCAGTATTCGAGGTGGGGTCTCACAAGAGCACAGTAAAGGGGAAGAATCACCTCTCTTGATCTGCTGATCACACTCCTCTTGACACATCCCAGGATGTGGTTGGTCTTCTGGGCTGCATGAGTGCACTGCCGGCTCATGTTGACCTTTTCATCTATCAACACCCCCAAGTCCTTCTGTTCAGGGCTACTCTCAACTCACTCTGTGCCCAGTTTGTATTTGTGCCTGGAACTGGCCTGACCCAGGTGCAAGACCTTGCATTCTGATTTGTTGAAGCTCATGCAGTTTGCCCTGGCCCATTTCTCAAGTCTCTCAAGGTCCCTCTGGATGGCATCTCTTCCTTCAAGTGAGTCCACCACACTACACAGCTTGGTGCTGTTGGCAAACTTGCTGAGGGTGCACTTGATGCCATTGTCCATGTCGCTGACAAAGATGTTGAACAGCACTGGACCCAGAACAGAGCCCTGAGGAACACCGCTCGTCACTGATCTCCACGTGGACATCGAGCCATTGACCACAACTCTTTGAGTGCGACCATCCAGCCAGTTCTTTATCCACCGAGTGATCCATCTGTCAAATCCGTGTCTCTCCATTTTAGAAACAAGGATGTCATGTGGGACAGCGTCAAACGCCTTGCACGAGTTCAGGAAAATGACATCGGTTACTTTTCCCATGTCAACCAGAGCTGTAGCTTTGTCGTAGAAGGCCACCAAATTAGTCAGGCACGATTTGCCCTTAGCAAAGCCATGTTGGCTGTCACTGACCACCTCGTTATTTTTCACCTGCCTTAGTACAGATACTAGGAATATCTGCTCCATGATTTTACCTGGCACAGAGGTGAGGCTGACTGGTCTGTAGTTCCCTGGGTTTCCTTTGCTTCCCATTTTAAAAGTGGGGGTTATGTTGCCCCTTTTCCAATGTGTGGGAACTTTGCCAGACTGCCGAGACTTCCCAAACATGATGGCTAGTGGCTATTCCACACTATATAATGTCATGGTCAGTATATAAACTAGGGGGAGCTGGCTGCAAGGCGCAGATTGTGGCTCTGGCATCGGTCAGTGAGTGGTGAGCAATTGCACTATTCATTACTTGTCTTTTCCTGGGTTTTATTTCTATCTCATTTTGTTATATTCCTTTTCATTACTATTAATTATTATTATTGTTGTTGTTATTTAGTTTGATTATTGAACTGTTCTTATCTCAACCCATGAGTTTTACTTTTCTTTTCAATTCTCCTCCCCATCTCACTGCAGGAGGAGAGGAGTGGCGAGCAGCTGCCTAGTGCTTAGTTGTTGACTGGCGTTAAACCACGACACAGGCTCATCTCTTCCTCCATTACTGCATTATCTCTACTTTGTTATCCTTGCTAAGAGGATTAGAAGGTAGTGGGAAACATATTCCTATCAGCCACACAAACACACAAAACTACGAATGTGATCATACAGTGATCTATAAATAACAAAACGCAACAGGGTTTCTTCCTCAACCACAAGACTCACTTGGAAATGATAAAAAATGCTATATTTTCACGGAGGAAAAAAATTATGTGTAGGCAATTAACCACAGCACAGGTACTGTTAAACATCTGTATTGAGTATAAAGTCTATACCAGCTGGATAAATGCACTGACTATACTGGCATGAGTTTTCCAGCTGCACGTATTCAACTATACTGCATATGTTATTAGCAGGGTAAGGAGACATCTCTGTTTTTCTTTAAATCAGAAGACATTTCATATCCAGAGGCTAAAGCCAGAAAATTGTCACATCAGCACTGCTGGAAACATGCAAACCGAAACATGCAAACCAATACATTTTGTCATCAGGATGTTGAAGTAAAACTAGATGAGTAATTACCTCTTAATGGTAAATGACACTTTTTCAGAATACAGTCCTTCCGGCACAGGTTCATATAGAGCCCCTACTATCTGCAAAATAAATAATCTACAGTCAACTGTAGAAAATATTCCATTATTTATTTGAAGGTCTCGTATGATAAGTATTGTTCCTCTGAACAACCTCATGGGCATTACATCATCAGCTCTTGCAAAAACTTGGAAAACATGTTCTAAAGCAGAATGTCACTTCTAATCAGGTATCTATACTAATGTATATTACCACAGAAGATCAAAAGGCTACAATATCTGAAAAAAAGCAAAGAAAATAAACAATGTTTTCTTTTTATTTATGATCATATCCTAAGGTGTAATACTCAATCCTACAGAAAATCCAATATTACAGTACATTAAGAAATTTTATATATCTAAAGCTTTCACCCTCAAACTCAACTATAAAAATAAGCCAGTCTGAGAGGTAATAATATATTAACATTTACAAGCAATTTTTGCAGTTAGATAGCAACTTTTTTTTCAGTAAGATAGCAAATTATACGATGATAAACACTTGTGCTCATTCATGCACCAGACCAGTGAGTAGTTTACGCTTTTATAACCTTAAACATAAATTCTCATGGATCTAGTGAACATATGCAGAAATAATTGGTAGGTTGATCTGGCAAATCTGAATACCTTAGTTGCCAAGGAGAGCATATTGCTGCTGTAAAACGGTGGGTTCAGAGTTGCCATCTGATAAAGGATGCATCCTGCAGCCCAGACATCAGCCTTCTCTCCATACGGCTCACTCTTTACAACTTCGGGGCTAAGAAAAAAAGCATTGCAACCCGCAAGTGTTTAATTAATTCACCTAGAAGTAGGCTTAAGGTTTTTTTTATAACACCCAACATTTAGCTAGTCACTACAGTTTATTTTCAGAGCACATACAAATACATTCAAAAGGTTGCAATTACTTTCTTTAACAGATGAATTCTTTAACTGCAAGTACTATTAATAGCTTTTCCACTTCTACTGCAGTCATTCTCACACCACAAGTGGCTTTGCATTTTGTTCACTTGTCCTTTCCACTCATTTCATGTCGCAGTCTTTAGATTTAATGGATACAAATGTACTACAGCATTCAGAACTTGTTTACAATGATGGCATTTCAATAAAATAGACTAGAGAACACATAAATGTATCAAATCCTCTTGTAATTCAGACATCAGAAAGACTTGAATAAGACTCCTATATTTAGAATGCTAATGGATATGATTTTGCTATTAATGTGAGTAATGAACTTTAGTCGTTATATCATTTTCATCCTCTTAAAACAACTGCAGTGAATTCCCTCTGAGAATTCCAAATGGTCACTCAACAGCCAGGCGAACGACAATAAAAAATCAATTGTAAAGATCCCTTTAAAGCAAATGGAAGAAGGCAATAATTTCACCTACAAAGCTGACTCCTCTTTCTTCTCTTAATTTCCTCAGCAGCTTGGATAAACTAACCGGGATGATAATGATTTACATTAGCAGGGATATTCTGGTGTTGGAGTTCAAGTTTTAGCAGTAAGTAAAGGTCGTATCATATAATGTGTTTTTTCACTTACATCATCTCTCTATAATTATTCAGAGTTATCAAAAATGCTTGACTCCTTTTATCTGTAAAATCAGCTTGAAAACCTACTTGTTTTCCTCTTCCTTTCAGCTTAGAATTTGGAACCACTATATCAAACTGATGATTATACTACTGATATCTTTAATAAAATGCCTTATTTTGGAGCTGAAATGTACTGTGTAAATTCAATTAATGATGAAGACTGGATAAAGTATACTGCAAGAAGCTGTGGCTGTTGACATGTACAAAGGACAGAAAACAGGTTTTTTAAAAATAAATGGGATGAGGTCCCTTAGACAAAGTATTATGCTGAAGAGAAATTAAGTGATCATAACAGAACAGAAAGTCAGAACAGAGGTCACAGCCTGTGGAAGTGAAAGAAACCGACAGATCACATACTTCTAATAAAATTCATCAAGCAAGATACAGATTCCTAGATGAAACCTAAGTAGCAATTTTCCTTGAATTTTGCTATTACATAACCATAAAGAGGAATACAAGATGTTGAATATGGTGTTAAATATAATACTATTTTGGTAACCAGACTCACAGTCTTTACTCCTCACCGTGACAATAATTCAGTAGAGGACTTTGTGGAAATTGTATTTTTATGTATTAAATGCATCTATTAGAGCAAACATCAATATTGCAACTTACCATATAGATGGTGACCTCAGTGAGGCAAAGCCCCTGTCTTAGTAAATTTCTAAGCTAAGTTCCTACTCAGAAAAATGAGCAACTTGAGTTCTACAATCTTTCATTCTAGTGATAATTTTCATGCAGAGGTATAAAGTTATGGATTATTTTTCAATTACTAAATCATATTAAAATCCCAAAATGAGATTATTCAAGCCAAATTGATACAATTGAAAAAAGACACATAGCAGTCACAGAAAGAATAAGCTGAATAATATTGGCAGAGAAACAGAAGCAACCATGACCTGGCCTGCACAACCTTGTATTCATGTAGAGCTTGACATCCAGAGCAAACAACAGTCCTCTGGGCTGGTGACTAGAAAAAAAATTATTTGTTACTACTGCGATTTGGAAATCACAGAAAGAATGCAGCACTGAGTGCTGTAGTTTTAGCATGGCTTCACACAAATGCATAATAGCTGGAAGTTAATTAAGTCATTTGGTCTGTTTATTCATGCTGAAAGACTTCTTGTTCTAAATGCATATCTAATTTGTTTAAAAAAAATATCAAAAAGATGACTTTCAGCAAAGTAGTACTTGATACCGTATTCCAGAAAAAATGTCTTCAGCCAGAAGTCTCTAATATTTAGAGCATTAGGATGATCAATACCTTAAATAAATACTGTCTCATGCTTAATACATACTTTAAATTACTGAAGTAATGTTTATCTAAGGTGATCATGAAAGTTTTACAAAGAATACAAAAAACTACACTCACATGATGCTATGTTTCACAGCTAATAATTCTGTAATTTAGATTTTTAAATAGAATTTTCAAATATTATTTGTTTACTTTCAAGAGATATAGTGAAATCCCTCACCATGTTCTACAGGCTTGCCTCACCATCTGCTAGTTAGAAAGGTGGGTGGGGTACAGTACTTGTTGATTAGCAAAACAGTTCTGTAGTCGAGTTGCATCTTTTGGATCCATGCTGTTGAGGGATGCCAAGCAGGGAAAGTACCCCATTCTGTTCCTGCACAGGGCCACCCACCAGCAGGACGGCGGTGGGAGTACACACAGTTTGCCCAACTCAGTTGACAGCCATGTATAAACTGTCACTGTCTGGTCAAGACCAGAAAGAATGAGTAGAACTAGACTCTAAATTTTATTCCATAAAAACCCTACAAAATCAGTCTTAGCCACAAACACTGAAAATTAATTTAGGGGTGTAGCATTGGTATGACCTTTTTTTTGGTTTATTTGTAAAAGCAGGGTTTTTTCCTTTAATTCTTACATTAAGAGACCTCGATTAGTTGAAATAGGACAGTGGCACTCATTAAACTTTTAGCAGAGAGATGTCCACATCATAAAATAAATTCAGTGTCAAAATAAAACACGTAAAGGGAGAAACTCTAAGAGCTGATAAAGAATTTAATTTCTATTCCTCCAAGTGCTGACCACGCTGCTACGAGGCAGCTGTACTAATGCTATACCCTGGGATATACAGGTTCTTGGATATTAAGAGACAGTAGATAGTTATTTAATTAGTCACTTAGTTCTTGCAGCTAACATATTCAAGATAATCATTACAGTTATCCTGTAGGTTTACAAATCATTGCTCATTTCTAAATTAAATATTCAAGCTGAAAAAGCTTACTTCAGCAGCGTTATGTTAACTACAGTAGAGTCCTTTACTAAACAAATATCCATAGTAAAACAAAGACTAAATTCTTCTAAATGCAAGACACTGAAATATATCCACAGAATTATTTTCCAAATTCTGAGCATCCTTGAACAGTTTTTACAACTGTTTCTCAGAAAGTTCACTCTTGCTCAACACACCAGCACTGCTTTTATATTTATTAATAGTCTTCTATGCCAACAGTCTTAAAATCAGCATTGAATTTGATTAAGCCATTGCATAATCCAAAGAGTTATCTGGTTTTTCTTATGAACTATTTCTGCAGAATTAAGCAGCTATTTTAAATACAGAAAATAGCTTTCCATACTACTCCACAAAATAAAAAAAAAAAAAGAGAAAATCATATCTTGTCAATATTTACGCTACTTGTAAAACAAAAAATACACTTCCCGAAATCCTCTCTACATGGCCTTGGAGATGTTTATGAAATCAAGCTTTCATTTATAATTTTGCTCACTGATGATACTTTGTCACGGGTTTTATTTACGAATACTTGCAACAGAGATTTACAGACTCCAGATATGAATCTGCTACATTAGTACTGTCACATACCTATATGGAAGATGACCATCCTCACTGGATTATCTCATGTTTATGTTAGATTTTAGTGGATAGAAGTTCCAAAATGAAGGAAGAAGTTCTGAATTTGTTGGGGAAGGAAAGAACAAGATGAAGGAATGATGTTACCAAAGCAGCATTCATTTTCTAGAGCTTCTAAAGCTTCTAAGAAGTTTTGCCAACACTGTCAGGCAGACTTTACACGGGACACAATCAGTGAAGATTTCCCAAGCTGCACAAAACTCCAGTAAAGCCACTCATGAGTTGGCTTGGTACAGTGTTCACTGGTTAATCCACGTGCTTCCAACAGGTATAAGAACAAGCAGGTATATGCCAACCTACCGTGTGAGGAGTGTTTTCAAGTAAAATGTGCTTTTAAATAGCCATCTACGGATTAATTAAAATAAGAGTGATTCTTCAAGGCTAATTCCCAGAAGATGTGATGGTTATAATGAAGGAGTAAATAAATAAGAAGCATACACCATTGCAGAATGTTTTAACAATGAGTTATTGCTCTTAGTCTTTATCATTCCTGCAATTAATTACTTAAAGTTTGATGGAGATTCCTGCAGTTGGTGGCAGTTTTACAAACACTCATGCCTAAAAATCATACCTAGTTCAGGAAGCAATCCAAGCTGAAAATATCTGGAGGCTAGCAAAGTATCAAATATGCTTATCCCATTCTTCCTTCCCTATGGATATTGATTTATTGTCACTGTTGGAGACAGGGCAGTAGGAGAGTTGGTAGATAAACCTTTTCTGTTTCTTTTTTTTTTTGTTCCAAATACTAAAAGAGTCACTGCATACTTCCATTAGCTTTAGATATTCAGATATGTTTGTTAAGATACCTATAAAATAATGCTTTCTTGCAACGAATAGCTTTCTTGGCTGCTGGCAGAACTTCTCAAAGCAAGGTAGAAGAAGTGATTTACACAATCTTTCCACCTGTAACTGCCACAATTCACTATAAAAATGAAACTACCCTTCTCTCACCCAAGGGTAACCAGTGATTTTTCCAGTAGTATCTTGAAAACCTTCAGATGTAAAGAACTCTCTTGACAGCCTGCTCTACATTTGATTGTTATAATAGTGAAAAAACCCACATTGCTTTATATTGTTAGAATCTCTCTTGTCTCAATGAATGTCTATTTTCTCACAAAAGGGCCAAGACCACCAATTCCAGTTTAAAAAATGAAAAAATCAAGGGTATGCTTGTGTTTGGGCTCCATCTCGATGTTTCTATGAACTAGGTAGCCTAATTTCATTTTATTAAACTACTGCAGGATAATCTCTGAGTATTTGAAGATCA